CACACACCAGACGCCGGCCGGGAGCCCCTTGCTCCCGGTGAAGATCAACTTGGCAACCCTACTGCAGAAAGATTTGCAGTGGCTGCCCATTAGTTTCCAGGGCCAATTCAGAGTGCTGACTCTTATCTTTAAAGCCCCAAATAGCATGGGGCCAGGGTGCTTGAAGGACTGCTTCCTCCTCTACTGTCCATCCTGCCAATTAAGATCTGCCTTTCAGGCCCTGCGCTCTGTGCCCCCACTTTCAGAGGTGAGGTGGGCTGCTACCAGAGATAGGCCTTTTCCACCTCACTTCTGGAATGCCCTTCCTCTTGAGGCTTGCCCGGTGCTGACATCGCCCCCTTTAAGGCACCATGCCAAACTGCTTCTATTCATCCATGCTTTTAATTAAGGATCCTTTGATACCATTTTAGTCTGGAAACTGTTATTTTAAGCTTTCAGTGGTCTGTTTTTATCGCCTGTGCTTTTATGCTGGGCTCGGGTTTTTTAATGCTGGATTTTAATAGCTTTTAATATATTTTTTTGCATTATTTATTTTTTGTATGCCACCTTGGGCAGGCTCCTGGAGAATTTAAAAAACATTAAATAAATAGCAGGCACATTGGGAACAGTGGAAAGGGGGCACAATCCCTGTTGGCACAGCAGATGGCAACAGCCTGACCCAGATGGCAACAGCCTGGCCCTGGAGCCTTCTAAGCCCCAGCAGGTGCCTGTTGGCATTATTGGCATGCAAAAATATTTGTTTTCTTTAACTGACTTTAATTGATTGTCCTATGTAATTGATTTCCCCATTATGTTAAAAATACAAATCACTGGCTAAAAATAATTGGCATGTACATCAATAGCATCCTTCAGAAGATCTCTGGGTGATTTGGTCCATTTTTCCTGGGTTAATAATGAATCACATGTTGAGTAGGGGAGAAGTCCACCCATCTTTCAAGTGTAATATACGTGTATCAGTGGCTACCAGCCATGGTGACTGAGGGGAACCAGAACCAGGAGGCAACATCAGGGGAAGGCCTCGGCCTCTGTGCCCTGTTGTCGGCCCTTCAGAGGAACTGGTTGGCCAGTATTTGAGACAGGATGCTGGACTAGATGGACCACTGGTGTGATACAGCAGGGCTTTTCTTATGTTCTTAAATGAATTCAGAGTTTTTAAATGTTTTAACTGTGGTTTTAGGTTTTCTCTGAGAGTGGCAAAGACACCGATGTAAGTAGCCTGACCCTCCAGAGCGAGAGAGGAGAGGAGAGCGATGACGAAGATGAGGAAGAGAATGCGGAGCTGAAAGAATGGAGGAGTCGCTATCGAGAGGAGAAGATGAAGGTCATCCAACTGGAGCTGCAGTTGGCTCAGAAGACAAAAGAGTGTGTTGGCCTCTCAGAAGGGTGTAAATCAATAAAGGAAAGGGTGTGGGACCAGGTGCAAGAGATTAACCAAGTCCTTCCTGAAGGGAGCAACAACAGCCGGGACTGGGAGGAGCTGAGCAAGAGGTACAGCTGTGACCTTTCAGAAGAAGACTATTACCTCAGCCTTTTGGCTGAGCAAGTACAGGAACTCAAGAGGAGGAAGAACCAACATGAAGAGCTGGAGAAACAGCACGTTGAGACCCAGACGGTGGAAGAAGGGCCTAAGAGTATGGTGGTCAAAGACGAGGGAGTACGGTGGCCCGGTGAAGAGGAGGAGGAAGAGAAGAAACAGCAGCAGATGGAACTGTGGCGTCTTCAAGCCGAAGTAGCTGCGGCCCTTGAGGAGAAGGCAAGTGCTGCACAGAGGGTGCAAGAGATGGAAGGCCACATGGAGAACATGAGAGCAGTGATCAGTGTCTATGAAACCAAGAAGAAGTCGCAGAGTGGGACGCTGAAGGCACTGGAGGCTCGCGTGACCGACCTGGATGTTGAAAACCAGCAGTTGCGTGGTCTGCTGGCAAAGAATCTGGGGGAGACTGAGACAGTGGGAAAACAGGACACAGGCTTCCCCAGGGATAAAGTATCCCAGTTTTTCACCGAGATGGAGGAGGAGTACTCCAGAGTGCTGAAGGAAAACTCCATTATCATGACTGAGAATGAGGCCTTAAAAAAGGAAGCCGACGAAGCTATCAGAATCAATCTCCAGTTCCAAGCGGTGCCAACAGGGACAGTGAGGAGAAGTGTGGCTGTTTGGAAGAAGGTAGTCACAGGCCTAGAGAATGCCCTAGCCAAGTTGGAGCAGGTCAACTCCCGCCTTCTGGAGAAAGTCAGACCTCTTCGGGAAGCTGTTCTGGCCTCTCAGTCAGGAGTCATGGTTAATGGCATGGACCATCAGGAAAAAGAGCTGGAAAAGGTTGAGACAGGGAAGAACCAGTTGCATGAAGAAATTCCTGGGCAGGTCAAACTCAGGGTGAAGACCGACAGGGGGGACAACAAGTCCCGTTCAAGTCGGAGGAGCTCTGACCTGGAGAAAGAGGTGTGGGATCTCAAACAGAATAATGGCAGCCTTGTGAAGGAGCTGACCCAGTTAAGCAGGGAGAGGGAGAAGCTACAAGAAGAGCTTCACAGATTGTTCCATCCTAAAGAGGAACCACCTCAGCAAGAAGCTACAGGGAGCTTGGTGGTAGAGGAGCTGAAGCAGACCGTTGACTCCTTGTCCCAACAGCTCTTAGATGAGAAAGAAGAATCAAAGAGGCTGCAGATGAAACTGGATACCCAGAGGAAGGAGATGGTGGTTGTGAGAGACAGCTTCCTGAAACAGATGACCAAAGAGGTCAGCAACACTGGGAACGAAAACCTTGGCAACAGCATCTTGAGGGAGCTACACTGGAAGCTTGACAACGTTGTGAAGAAGCAGAACGAAGCCTTACAGCTGGTATCTGAGATGGAAGAAGAGAACCACGCCTTTGAGGCTGACCGAACACACTTTGCCGACCATAACGGCCTCAGCCCCTTCGCAGCGGAGGAAAAGGCTTGGCGAGAAATGTACGCTGAGGCCTCAGACGCCATCGCTGATAATTGGAAAGTCAGACAGCGGATGAACGAGCTAGAGAAAGGCCTGCAGGAGCTGAAGGAGCTGTATGAAGCAGCCCAGGCCTCTCTACTCGGGAGAGGCGAAGAGGGGGCCACAATGAAGCAGCTGATAGACCAACTCACTATCAAGATGGCTGAGCTGCGCCACGAGGAGGAGGAAGCCCTCCGGAAGCACGAGAAGGTCCGTGGCATGCTGTCCCTCAGAGCCCAAGCCTTGGGAGAGCAGCTGTCTGCCCTTCAGGAGAAGTATGAGAAAGCGAGTGGGGAATCCACCCAGCACAAGGAAGCCCTCACTTTTGAGCGGCAGAAGAACAAGGAGCTGCTAGCTGAGGCAGCAGAGCACGAGGAGGAGGTGGACGAACTGAGAGGGAAGTCACAGCGGCTGGAGATTTCGGTGGACAAGTTGAACAGGAAGGTGGAGGAGCTGACCAAGACCTGCCAGGACAGAGAAGGAAGGGTAGGAACCACTGATTCCTTAAAGGTCAAAGGGGGCTACCCCATATAAGTATGAGCAGTTGCTGAAGGAGATATTGGTCTGTGTGTGCGGGGGGGGGGGCGTTCTTCCTGTCAGTCATGTCTAGCTTTGCAGCATGTCTTAAAAGGCCCCCGACCGAGATATGAAGCTCAATTGCATGGGCTGAGGACTGATTAAAATGTGACATTGACTGAGGAAAAATAACTCATCTGTGGGACTTTGTATTCGCATAGTGGCACATTTTTAAACTAGGCTGCTACATGTGCAAACCATCCTCACTAATGGCCCTGTAAGCTAGGTCAGTATTTTTACAACTGGGATCAGGGGTACAACTAAGGGTCTATAGGGTACTCTAGGGAATCCATCAGCCCCTCTCATGCCCATCCAGCTAATGTGAAATGTGAGACCCTTCAGTTTCTAGGAAAGGGTGTAAAGACTCTCCAGCTCAAGGGAAGCAGATGGAATTGGATCCCCCCCACCTTCAAAGGGCAGAAGCTCAAAGAACTGCTGCCACCACCCTTTGTAACCTGGCTTCCAGATCACCTCAAAGTACTAGCCAGAAAATGTGCTGATTAGTTGGTGTTATTCAGTAGCTCTACCCTAGCAAACCTGGCTTCCAGATCACCTCAAAGTACGGTACTAGCCAGAAAATGTGCTGGTTAGTTCGTGTTGTTCAGTAGCTCTGCCCTAGGAACTCTAATTGGCAGAGGTACAGACCTAACATGGTAATCATAGTTAGTTCTGGGATAAAACTAAACTGTTTTTTATTCTATTTGCCAATGCAAAGGATTTCACCTTAGAGACAGAGGGGACACCACTATGTATCTACAGAAAATAATAGGCAAAAGTAGTTTTCAACTGAATATTGGAACTGGTTGGTCACTGTATGAAACAGAATGCTGGACTAGATGGACCACTGGTCAGATCCAGCAGGCTGTACTTACATTCTTATGGAAGTTCAGGTTTTGTGTGACACAGGTCTTATTCTGTTTCTGGGAGCAACTCAAAAAGTATTTCCAGGCCTTTTCCAACCCTTGTTCAGCTAGCCTGTATATAGAAGTTCGTAACCCATAAGGAACTTTCTTTGTCTCTGATGCAAAGTCTCTTCCAATCAAGGTGAGACTGAGTAGAAATTTTGAGTAGTGGCCCTAAAGAATCAGCTATCCTCTGAGACCTGACCTTCTAGGTCATGTACAAAAAATACAGTCATTTTACTTAAATTTGCTTTTAAAGTGTATCTGGTGTGGTTCTCTCCATATTGTTTTGAGAACACTATAATATGGGGATCTCTATGGGATGTATGTGGCTTTCTGTTTGGGGGGGGATGCTGGGCACATGGTGAGGAGCTGGAGATACATGAGAACTTCTGAATCAAAATGGGGGTCCCCAAGTTGTTAAGATTAGAGTCACACCCCCTTAAGACCATTGAAGTCAATGGGCTTAGAAGAGTACAACTCTGTTTAGGATTGCACTGTAATATTTCCATTTTATAGTCAGGGGAACTGAGTCTGAGAAAGAACAATTCACTCAATGAGTCCCTGGTGGAGGAGAATCTTCAATGATGTAAGAACATAAGAACATAAGAGATGCCAATGTTGGATCAGGCCAAAGGCCCATCCAGTCCAACACTCTGTATCCCACAGTGGCCAGAAATACCAGTGCCATCAGGAGGTCCACCAGTGGGGCCAGGACATTAGAAGCCCTCCCACTGTTGACCCCCCCCCCAAGCACTGTTCTGTTCTGTCATTTCCCTGCAGATCAAGAAGCTGCTAAAAGAAACAGAGAAACTTTCGAGTGAAGTCCTCAACCTGCGCAGTGAACGTGCCCGTCTCCACCTGCAAATTGAGGTGAGTATCTTTGCCAGTCAGCTTATGAAATGAGCTGCTCCTAGAACTTAATAAAGTGCAGCTTAGAAGACCCTGGAAGAAGCTAACCTATTTATAGGTTGCAATAAGAACACTCTTCTTGGCGTAAACCCTATTGAATAAAATGGGGCTTACTTTTGAGTAGATCTGCTGGGGTTGCTCCCATAATCAAATCAAGGCAGCAAAATTTGTTGACTGATCAAAACAAATGTGCTAGTAATACAATTCAGATTCAATTCATTAGCCTACCCAGTCTTCAGTGTTCTACTTCTCTATGTCTGCCAATAAGGGCTAGAATCATTTAAAGGAAATCTTTCAAACAAAAAGTTGAATTTTCCAGGAATATTTCAGGTATCCTACACAGCCTACTGGAAACTCAGTTCCATTGTTGAACTCAGTCACATTAGCATATCGAATCTGTAGAATTTCTTGGCAGTATTATAAACTAAGAGCAAAGCCCATTGTAGAAGGAATACAATGAGCCCTAGAAAGACGCGACACAGGCAGCTCCGTTCCCCCATGTCCTCCCCCCTCCCCAGGCCCCAGGGTCAAGATGGAACACACTGTGACTGGCTTCCTGCCCGGGCACATCCAATGGCCTCCAGCCCGCCTCCACCGCCCTCCAGCTCGGTGGTGCACCGCCCCCTGGCCGCTCGCACCCCAGCCATCTATCTACCTGTAGTTGGGCTCGGGCTTGGATGACCGCAGCGGTGGCAGGATCGGGCTCGGCCTGATGACCCCCCTGCCTGTTGGAGCATCCAGCCCATCTGTCGTCTGGTCGCAGCCTGGCCGGCTACCTGTAGTCAGGCTCGGGCGAGGACAACCGTGGCTGTGGCGGCAGGATCAGGCTCAGCCTGATGACCCCCTGCCCGCTGGAGCATCCGGCCCATCTGTCGGCTCCGAGCAGACTGAGGCCAAGATGCTGGATGGCACTTCTGTGGGTGGGACGACGGCAATGGAGGCAGGAACGCAGCCAGTGGAGACAGACACCCTGTGAGTGACACACCAGGGAGCCAACTGATTTGGGTGTGTGTGGAATCTTCTGGAGAAGTCTCACATGAAAATGCAATTATATATAAGGAGAGATATTTCTATGCACCAATGAGAGCTAGAACCTTTTAAAAAATCCTTTATATGAAACTTTAAACTTCCAGACAAAACAGACAAGATGCTGGGAGATTCGTGACCAGATCATGATAGTGTCTTTTAAACACTTAATTAGAATGCCCCTGAACCTCAATTTAGATAAGGACCATGCAGGGATAGGGACAGGATTTAACTCTTTCACCTCTGCACAGTTTCACAAACTGAAATCAGGCTCTCCACAGTTATACCTTTATAAAAAAAGAGGGGCAAAAGACAGACACTGCTATTTTAACCTTTTAAAGATTAATAATAACATAGGTGCCTCAGTGTCAGTTAGTGAAACTGGACCAGGAAAGAAGGGTTGATCTCCTTCTACACTACCTAACTGGCCCCCATTCAAACTGCAGCCTGCATAGCTGCAATTTGTCTTTAAAAACTAACAAAGATCTGTTATGTCTAATTTTACCCTGAGATATCCTGTGTACTATGCTGGAAACTAGGACACAACTGTTCACCCCATGGTCACGCTTTGGACATTTCAGATGGCTATAGCTTCTGTGTATTTCATGCATACCCAGTCTTATGCAATGAACATACGCATGTCCCTTTCACTGCCTATGCATATCACATGATCCTGCTTCCCACAGGGGCATCTTACCATGTGCATCCATGGGAAATGTATTATCACTGTTGTTATATTTTTCCTAAGTGCCCCCAAATTTCATCACATACGTACCTTGGATAGCAACTAATTTCATTGGAGGCCAACTTTGAAGGGAGGGTGGAAGCCAGGGCCACAGCCCCTCCATCCTTCCAAAGTGGACTGTCAGTGTCCACCACCACTTCCTTCATGCTTCTCCCTGGCCTCTGGGTGGTAGCCTTAGATATACAACAACCTCATCTGTGATCAGCCAAAGAATTCACGATATAGAGCTACAACAGCATCTGAGTGTTGCTAGGAGATACTGTTATAGCGTAAGCAATTTGTACATGCAAACTATTTGGGGAATCTTATAGCTCCAAAATCTCAGGCATGATTTCATGTTCTCTCTTCTGAGATGTTAAATGGGAGATATTTTAAAAAGCCCCATATTATGAATGGAATTGCCCCTGTGGTAGTCAAGAAGTTGAAATTTTAAGGCACGTTGTTCTATACTGTCCTCTTTATAAAGATCTTCGCAATGAGCTGCTTCTTCCTATTCTGTGAACATTTCCAGGAAGAACAGAAAAATCTTATTGTCCTCCTAGCAGATAAATACCATCAGATTACAGAGAAGGTAGCTAAATTTTGCTCAATAACAAAATCTATCCATGCTTCATTGAGGAAGTAGTTATGTTGTTGTAGTCTATTAAACTATGTCAGTTTTACATGTAGAGCTTTACTATTTGAAAATTGTATATGTATTTTTCCTTTTTAGTTTTATTGATTTTATGGGATCATAATTGATTGTATAATGGAAATATTGTAAATCATTTTAACTACACTGGATGCACACAGTTAGAACAACTATCTATCTAACCTTAGAGGGCCAGATGTGCCCATGAGCCACCAGCAGCTGATACATAAAAAACATTAATCTCATGAGCTATAACATTTACTGTCTGCAACAGTAGACTGAACATACAAGCTTTACTTAGCATGGAACGATATTTACAAAATCAGTTCTTGGTTTTGATCAGAGCTTTTTTCCTAGAGAAATGTGCTGGAATGGAATTCCAGCACCTCTTTGACAAAATTATTTTTAGAATGTTTAAAAGTTCACGATATTTCAGTATACAGATTGAAAACATCCTTTCCCCTCTTGAGAGTTCTGGCACCACTCTTTCTAAAAAAAGAAAAGGAAAAAAAGCCCTGGTTTTGATTCTCTACTGGTGCTCCCCAGAATTGCTTCCCTCCAGACCACTATTTCCAACTATAATCACAACAAATTACCATGTAAGATATTATGGATGGAGCGTCCCAAGGCCACAAGTGGCCAGGTAAAGGTAAAAGTTCCCTTGCTCGAAAGCCAGTCGAATCCGACTCTAGGGTTGCGGTGCTCATCTCCGTTTCAAAGCTGAAGAGCCAGCGCTGTCCGAAGACATTTCCGTGGTCATGTGGCCGACATGACTAAACACCAAGGCGCACGGAACACTGTTACCTTCCCACCGGTGGTACCTATTTATCTACTTGCAATTTCTTGCTTTCGAACTGCTAGGTTGGCAGGAGCTGGAACTAGAGACAGGAGCTCACTCCGTCATGTGGCACCCGGGTCTCGAACTGCTGAACTACCGACTTTTCACAGCCTGCAGTTCAGCGTCTTAACCACTTGAGCCACCGCAGCTCAACACACATCATCTAGTGACTTTCTGGCTGAACTAAGCGCTGAATTGGGGACCAATTCTGGCTTACAGCACGTAGTCATAAACCACCATGCCATGTCGACTAGAAAGACACATGTACTCCATGGTGTTGTATACATGCATTCTTATATTTTTAATTTAGTGCATTTGGGTCTCACTGCACATTATAAAGTCCTTATGTTTGCACTGGATGAGTTTGCATCAGGCATCCAGTGAGAACTGTGTGCCTCTCAGAGACATGCTGGCCCTTTTCTGCTTGTGACGGTGGTGCAGGGGGAGAAGCGGCTTCAGTATCCACCTCCCTCCCCCAGCCATTTCTGCATCTCCAGACTGGCCTGTTGGGTCACTATTGGCTCTATCACAAAAATGTGGTACTTATATGGCTATGCATAATCTTTGCTGGTAGCACCTCCGTTGCACATTCTGAAGACACAAAAACAGCTCAAAGGGAACGGCTGAATCAACTTATTTTGTACCATGTCCTGCTTTTGCAGTAAGGATATTTCTCCCATTTTGTTCACCTGATTCATGTGTGTCCGTCCCCCCCCATCTCCCGTTTTGATGTGACGTTGTCCCGCTGTCATGCTTGGATCACAAACAGCCTGTTCTTTCCACACATATAACCCCCCCCCCCCACACACACACTTTATTTAAAACCTGTTTAAAAACTGTGTTTCCTGGGCTGCGGGCAGGAGGCCAGCAAACAATCTTTTTCTTGTGTATTAAAGGGAACATATGCCTTATGCTTTAAAGAAAGGAAACACCCCCTCTGCTTCCCTCAGTCTTCTGCATTTTGTTTGTGAGCTGCCCTGCAGCTGCTGGCAATAATAAAACTTTAATTAAAAACTTCTCTCAGAACTTCAGTCACAATGGTCATAGATCCAGAGAAGTCACAACGGTGTAGCAGTTTCAACTTCAATCCTTGTCATTTTGAGGTTCCCTTTCTGCAAAGATTTCCCCTCTCCAAGAGCCCGTTTATTATTTTCCTCCTAATTTTGAACTCTGCTTTGGCATTGGAAGGTTCCTCAACCCCTAGGCTTGCCAACCTACAGGTGGCACCTGGATATCTTCTGCTATTACAGTTGATCTTCAGATGACCCAGATCAGTTCCCCTGAAGAAAATAGGTGCTTTGAGGGTGGACGGTGTGGCATTATACTCTGCTGGGGTCTCTCCCTTCCCCAAACCCCTTCCTTTCCATGCTCCACCCCCAAAATCTCCTGGTATTTCCCTATCCAGAGCTGGCAACCCTTCCAACCCCACCACTGCGCAGCACTTCACATTATGGATTTCTTCCACTGACCAGCGATATTATTCCACTTGGAAATGCAGATGAAGGGGATGGAGGTTTTTGTTAATTCCATATCTTTTCTTTTCTTTTCTTTTTTGAGCCCCCGGAGGGGATTTTTTATTTTTTTTAATCAAACTACAAAACTACTACAGAAAAAAGGGAAGGGGGTCTACATATATAGGATAAAGCAAAAGAACCCACTACTAACTGAAAACCCAAGAGAGGAGATCCTCACTAGCTTAGTTACAACAAATCTTCATTTCATTTAGATTATTATAAACTGAGTCAAACATTTATATTACTTTCTTCCTCTTTAACTCTTAAATTTAACTGTCTAGGAACAGTACCCCCAATCATCCCATTTCAGAGTTCTCAAAGGCACAATTCAGAGTCCTTCAGCCTTCACTTCTCCTTTCCTCGTCTCTTCCGCAGCTTATAAGGACTTTTTGGAGCAGCTGCCCCTTTCTCTGTCAGAGAGTCCTCTCCAGAAGAGCCCGAGTCCAGCTCGCCAGTAGACTTGCTCTCCGCTTCTTTTTTCCCATCCTCTGGTCTTCCCAGCTGAACCCTTAGGAATTCTTGAGCTTTCAAAACAGTGTAAATCTTTTCTTTTTTATCCTTGATCTTGAAAGTGACACATTCTGGAAATAGCCATTTATATCCAATTGAGTTTGTCTGAAGAAAAATCACAAGCTGTTTGTATTTCTTTCTCCGTTGTCTTACTTCAAATGGAATATCCTTTAGCGTTCTGATGGTATTTCCCCCCACTTTCAGGGGTATTCCAGCAACCGCTTTCAGGATTGCATCCCTCACATGCCTCTTCGAGAATCGTTTAAAAAAGCAGTAATACTTGTAAACTACGTTTGAGTCCAGTGACACCTTTAAGACCAACAAAGTTTAATTCTGGGTATAAGCTTTTGTGTGCATGCACACTCCTTCAGATACAGTGAAACAAGATGTCCTCAACCATTACATATAGGTAGAGGGATGGGGTTAGTTGCTAGGAAGGGCTAGTTAGAGTCAAGATGCACAAGTAACTGGGCGATTATAGCTGAGACTGGATTAAGGCGGTTGGTAAGATCTGTGAATAGTGTTAACTTTTGTTATTTGTATGCTAATTTACTGCTATTCACAGATAATGCTCCCTCTAAGCTGTGGAGAATTGTGAGCAAAAATTCTAGTTTGTGAGCTACTGGCATTAAAGTTATGAGTCAACTATTTGGCTGCTGCATAAATTGGTTTGCTCTGGAGCCATCCTTCCTGAGCGAAGACAAAAATGTATGAGCTGGAGGCTAAAAGACTGTGAACTAGCTCACACTAACTCAGCTTAGTGGGAACACTGTTCACAGATCTTACCAACCACTTTAATCCATTCGCAGCTGTAATCGCCCTGTTACTTATGCATCTTCTCTAACTAGCCCTTCCTGGCAACTAACCCCTCTCTCTACCTATATGTAATAGTTGAGGAATGTCTTGTTTCACTGTATCTGAAAAAGTGCGCATGTATAAGAAAGCTTATACCCAGAATTAAACTTTGTTGGTCGGGACTCTAACTTTGCTCTGCTGCTTCAGACCAACATGGATACCCACCTGAATCTATATTCCTGAACTGTGTAAGTGCAAGACTTCTTTCATGTGACAAATGGGGGTCTCTTGCTAGAAGCCCAGCTACTAGAAGAGGGAGAAGTTAATTGGGTGTTGGAACCTTTTCCTCTCCCACACAGTGATTTGTTGAAGGGGAAGGGAACAACAGAGTTCCAGTGGCAAAATAGAAAAAGTAGTCTGATTGAGGGGGCAGACTTTCCAGCAGACAGAAGATCAAAAGGCAGTGGAATAAAGCTGTTCCTATACCGTGCTGGGCATGCACACCTTTTTTTTTAAGGTGGGTGGAGAGTAATAATCATGTGACATCACAGCAGTGAATGGGGGAAGGGGTTACAACCAATGTTCCCACTAAACTGTGGAGGCTTGTGAGCAAAAATTCTACTTTGTGAGCTACTGGCATAAAAACTGTGAGCGAGTGATTTGGCTACTGCATAAATTAGTTTGCTCTGGAGCCCTCCTTCCTGAGCGGAGACAAAAATGTGTGAGCTGGAGGCTGAAAAATGGTGAGCTAGCTCACACTAACTCAGCTTAGAGGGAACACTGGTTACAACATACATCTGGTGCAAAAGGAAGAAAATGGATTGTTCCGAGCCATCTGAAAGGTCTGTTGGAATAGCAGTTTCACCCACAATCACATCACCAACATGTCCGTCACGGAAACCACCACCCCAGTGTAGAAGCAGCCACAAACACAAGCAGAAAAGGGGTTGTCATGCACCTGGGGAGGCACAAAACTCCCATTGCATGTTGGGTACAAAGTCCTCACATCATCCATCAACAAACACAAAGGACTTTGTGAAATGTAGAGAGACGTGAGGTTCACTTTAGGTGGTGTAGAAAGTCAGTTCTTGGCTCGCTTTCATGGGTATTTTTTAACTCTTCCAGGTCATCCAGAAGAACCATCAAGAGATTGTGTCAATTTACAGAACCCACCTGCTCAACGCAGCCCAGGTAAGAATAAATTGTGTTAGTTCAAGTTGCTAGAAGAAGGAGATACCTAGGCAAAGGCCTGCAGGGATAGCTGTCTGTACCCACATAGCCAGGACAACTGCTGGGTTATACAAACAGTAGATCACATGGCAAAGTATTTTTCCTCAGTAATAGCACTTCAGGTTGTAGTTGGAGGATGCTGTATATACAGCAAGATTTTCTGTCTTTTCAAGCAGTTATGTCTCTCTCTCTCTCTCTTGTGCCCCATTTTCCTTTTCCTTCTATTCCTTCTTCTATATTCAGCCTCTTCTTCTGTCTTGTCTGTTGCTATATCTGGCTGCTGCTTCTTGCAGCCTTCTAGCTTATTCTTCTTTTGGGGAGGGAAAGGGGGTTATTTGGTCCTCCTCTACTGTTATCTGAGTGTTTCTATAAGATTGATAAATTTTTAATAATAATCATAAGATCAATGAACTCTTAAATAATAATGATCCCTGTGTGAAGAAATCTAGCTTCAGGTAAAAGACTGGGCCATATCTTTACAGTGTGACACAAGTTTTCCACATATGGGGAGGTTTTTTTTAAAAAAAATATGTAGGGGCCTTCAATTGCGCAGTCTCAGTGATACAACATAGAGCCCCGACTCTGCTGTGAGCATCGGTTAGCCATTATTCTCCCTGCCATGGTGTTCTTAAAGGCCGCAGAGCATTGTTTGGGGATGGAATTTTTTGACCGTACTCGTGGGAATGTATTTTTCCTATTCAGGGTTTCATGGACGAGGAGGTCCATGCGATGCTGCTCCGGATCCTGAGGACGGACGGATGACCAGCCAAGCTTATAAGCCTCCCCCTTTCCTTCCAAGTGAGAATGTTGTTTTCTTACATTGCCTCCCTTCCACCTGCCAAGGAAGGCGTCAATTTAACCTGCGTTGCTCGGGGCTTTGTCTGATCCCCATCAGCCTCTCTCACTAGAAGCAGATCTCATCTCCTGCTTTGGCTCAGCCCTGGAACACATGAAATCATCCTGTCATAACTTCCTCCAAGTGGTAGGAAGTTCCAAGGGCTGCTTTATCAGGTCAATTGGGTTCGGTTCATAAGGCTCGGTCTTGTGCCTGAACTTTCCTTGTGCACTTCCTTTCCTTCCCTCCCCGCTCAAGCTTGAATTCCCTTTCTTACTTCCTCTTTCTTGATGGTTTGATGTTAAAACACAAACTGTGGTTTTTTGCAAGACAGAGATGGCCTGAAATAGCAAACTGCTGTTTGCCAAGAAAGAGAATCTGAGTACATTGGGGGTGGGAGGGGGAGAGAAAGAAGAGCGTGCAGGACCCATTCTTGGTCCTTCCTCCAAATCATGAATGGGAGGATCTCGGGTCTGGTGAATCAACCTCAGAGCAGCAGGGACATATATATGGGACATTTTGGTAATGAACTGGGAAGTCAATAACGGCCAGCCTTCCCCCTAAACAACACAACCCTGGAGTTCCCTCAGCTCTGCTGCTTTCCAATCAACTGTTGCTTCTGTTTCTCCCCTCTTGGGCCAGAATTCAAATCTGCCAAACAATTCCTTTAGCCCTGTCACCCACACGGATGATACAAATTCCAGTGGGTTATACTAGCTGCTGGCTACCAAAAACGGCATTATCTCAAGAGTCATAGTGCCAGGCAGGGTCCCCTCTAAGCTGAGTTAGTGTGAGCTAGCTCGCAGCTTTTACGCCTCTGGCTCACACATTTTTTGTCTTAGCTCAGGAAGGACGGCTACAGATCAAACTAATTTATGCAGTAGCCAAGTCGCTCACTCACAACTTTAATGCCAGTAACTCACAAAGTAGAATTTTTGCTCAAAAGACTCCACAGCTTAGAGAGAGCATTGGTGCCAGGATGTGCAAAACCTCAGTGAGACAGAGAGAGAGAGAGGGAGGATCATTTTGCAAACCCAAAGAGCTTGATCAGAATCCTTTACTAAATAAAATGGCCTCTAAGCACATTCATTTCCTTCTGCCACTCAGTAATCATAGTTGTTCTCATACCTCTGGGGACCTAGCACATTTTTGTAATCCCACCTTTCCTCCAAGGAGTTCAGGGCAGCATACATGGTTCTCCCCTTCCTACTTCATCCTCACCACAAGTCTGTAAGGTAGGTTAGCCTGAGAGAGAGAAAGGGAGAGTGTGAGTGACCACAGTGAGCTTCGTAGTGGAGTGGGGATGAGGGTCCAAGGTTCCCCGTTTTTGACAGACCAGATTTCCAGGCAAGTTCAAGTTTGCAGCTCCACAGAACAGCATCTGAACTATACTGAACATTGCAATTATTTCTTCATTCCAGGATTTAATTCCACTGTGGACGATAATTAGAGAAGAGGAACACTGGTCAGTTACGTCTACGTCCAGAAACTGGTACACTCCTTCATTGCCAGGAAACAGGAGCCACCTTTGACTTCCAATACAGCAAAAATGCTACAGAAATACCAAGTATTATTATAAGGATTCCCTTTGGGCCACATGGGATGAGAAATCCAGTCTCTTTTTTAAAAAACTTGTTAAATTGTAGCCGTGTCCCAATGTTATGAAACTAAAGTGGCAGCGGAGGGGTGTGTGTCTTAAATCCGTACTCGGATGCTTCCAATTCTGCAATGCAATTCGGCAATTGGAATTACTTTTGGAAATTAGGCAGTGCATATACCAGCACACCGTTTTCTTTCTTTTCTTTCTCTCTCTTTCAAACAGACTTGGGAATTTAGGGTGGGGGCAGGAGACTAGAGTGGTAAGAAGGAAGGATTGTGGGAAGCAAGGAGTGTATAAGGGAGTGAAAGAAACGCCCACTGTTAATCACTGGTGTCATTGGGACTGGTCTGGTCACTGCTGAGCTAGCCCCCAAAGACATTTTGGTGCTTTACATACCTCTCCTGCATTCATTGATGTGAGCTACAGTCCACCAGGAAATTTTCCAATGCATGTCTCATTGAAATGAATGGGAACTGGGCTAGAGGCCTGCATTTTTCTCAGTGGGGCTCACGTATGAAATACTTCCCGGTAGATTGGACCAAAAAAGCCTTCTAGTCTTCCTCCCTCCTGCATCTGTTCCCTGGCTAAGTATTATTTGTTAAATCTTCCATTAAATGGTTTTTAACACTTTCAAAGGATTTGTGTTGTTGCTGTTTATCCACTGTTTATCTACAACAACTAATATCCACTCTTTTGCTTGCTTTCAGTTTTTAAAATGTCACCTTCCTTCCCACCCGTGAAAAGTCAAGTAAAGGAGGGACAACATGTGGCCAGAATGTCTTTGACTCACTAACTGGTCTTCACCACCATCACTGCCCCCTTCCCCACAAACTGCCCGTTTTGAGCCAAACAAAAGAAACAGGATGAGTGTCAGTGTACAGAGACCCGCGTTAAAGAATAAGGGCACAAGCCACTCCAATGCAGGCATTGTGTCAATGTGTGGAAAAATTGCCATGTGGCTCAATACAGCCAGGTTCCTTTCCCGCCCCCTGGCCTGAATGCAGCACAAGCCATTCCGTTATTTGGGTGGTCTGCGCGTGCCAGTTTGGTGCTTGAGTAACCTAACAGAGAGGGAAGGCACGATGGGTGATATAGCAGGTGCTCACGGATCTCTCTCTATAGCAGCAACGGCCCAGTATACGACACGCATGATTGCCAAGCGGAAGGGGGGAGCAGCTGCATGGTAATTCCTCTTCCCGTGCACGGCTGGATCCTACTCGAAGCGTTTTGGAAAGCCAGTGATCCTGCTGCTTTATTATTTTGAAACATTACGTACGAGATGCCTATGCAGAATGCACTTTGTGCAAAGTATTAACCGGCAGCAGCCTATGTGTAGTGACTGACACGTGGCACTCCCACACCTGAATGTTCACAGCTCCCCACATATCAACAAAAAACCACAACGGCCCATTGTCTGATGATGATGCACAAAAGCATTGCAGGTTATTTTCTACCTGAAAGACCTTTTCCATAACCTGTGGAAATGGTCCTGTGGCCCAAAATCTCAGTAATTGTCTGGGAATTCTTCACATACTGCATTTGGGTGTTGCAGCAATGAAGAGAGGGAGGGCTGGAAAATATTATAAGGGGCTGGGCTCACACATCCTGCAAAACTCCCCTTTATGTAAAATGCCAGCTGTAAGTACAAACCGATTGGTCTGAACAGCCCTCCGTATGGGTCAGGGAAGCAAAAATGCCTGCAGTCCTTTTCCTCTCCTTCTTGCCCCTTTGCAGGCATTTTGGCTTCCCCTCCACCCCCACATCGCTTACAGCCAAGTAAGAGCAGCCAACCTTACACATCCGCGCCACAACGCAAGGAGAAGACTGTAAGACAAAAACTGTTTCCATAGAGAAAAGGGGGAGCAAAGGGGGATTTAGCTGCCAACCCAGTTAGGGAACAAAGCAAAATAGCCAGGGTTTTTGAGCTGATGACCTTTCCAGGAGGATGCAAGAAGAGAACATGGTAAACAAACCATCATGCTGTTATTTAATCCAGAAGCAACAGGGTGGAAGGCTCTGTATGGGACACAGAGGCTGGTCCTGCATCTGGCATTCACGCCACATTTTCTCAGCACTGGGCCATTCTACACTGGCTTTTCTCTCTGTTGTTTTAGCAAACCCACGTTGGAACAGAAATCCCCCTCTACATTGCATGCTACGTTCACTTTCTTGGATCACTGCATTTCCACCATCACCGCCGCCGCTGCTGGCATTTCACTTTCTTGGAACACTGGATTTTATGGTACCCTCTGCATTGCATGCCACTTTCACTTTCTTTGATCATCAGGTTTTTATGGTACCTTCTGCATAGATTTATGGCTGTTCCGGGATGACTTTGCAGTCAGTATGGTGTTGGCCAGGAGTATTTGAGTGTGGTTTTGGTCTGCATCTTTTCCTCAATGCCTGGTTCTGCGTCTGGCATTCACTCCACATTTTCTCAACACTGAACGTAGCATGCAATGTAGAAGGGAATTTCTGTTCCAACGTGGATTTGCTAAAACAACAGAGGGAAAAGCCAATGCAGAAAAGCCCAGAGTTTATAAGCGTTCCCTGCCCCAGAGGGAAGGATGGGAAAGATATCTAGTGCCCAAGAATTATGGGATTCAATACTTTGCAAAAAACTTTGTCCATTATACAAATTTGCTGAGTTTATACAGGAAGCAAACTTCTACTTTTCGGTGCCTCTGGTGAAGCTAGCAAGATCAGGGAGAAACCCTGTCAGTTTCACCAGCCTGGATTTTTTTCTGCCCTCCTCCTTCTTCAAAAGGACATGAATGTACATTGGGCAGTGGTGCACAGAGTAAGTTTTAGAAACAATGCATTTGCAGAATTGACAAGAACCCCCCCCCCCAAACCTTGTCTATTTCACCAGAAAGAAAATGGCAGTGAGGTAGGAGTCTAGGCTAGAGTTGCCAGCTGCTCCCTGGGAAATACCAGGAGATTCAGGAGTGGAGCATGGGGAGGGCAGGGTTTGGGAAGGTGAGGGACCTCAGAGGGATATGATGTCACAGAGTCCACCCTCCAAAGACAGCCATTTCTTCCAGGGGAACCGATGTCTGTCATAGGCTTGCCAAGTCCCCCCGGGGGGCGGAGAAACCCCCGCCCCAGAGGCCCGTTCCCCGTCGGCGGATTGGGCCCCGGGGGGAACCCCACCCCAACGTGCACATCACCCAGAAGTGACGTGACCATGCCGGGCATGCTGGGGGCGGGGCCACGGTCATCCAAGGGAAAACTCTATGGTTTTCCCTCGGATGGTCATGGCCCCGCCCCCAGGGTGCCCGGCATCGTCACGTCCCTTCCGGGTGACGTGCGTGTGGTGCGCGCGTGCTTTGCGCCCGCACGCGCACACTCCAGCCACCAGCCGGGAGTCCCCCGCTGCGGCAAGAAAACGACTTGGCAACCCTAGTCTGTCAGCTGGAGATCAGTTGTAATTCTAGGAGATCTCTAGATCTCACCTGGAGGTTTGCAACCCTTGGTGGGACTGCCACCAGCCACATCATGGTGGGACTGCAACTGGGCTTGTATCTGAAGTAGACAAGAGGGGAAGTGTCTTCTCCCCAAGATGAGGAAAGGGTCGCAGCAACATCTAAAGCAGAAACAGCATAGCTTGCGAATGGCTGTAATGCACAGAAGCTGAAGCAGGGCAAATCTCCCACAGTCATTAAAGCTCTCGAAAACACACACGCGTTTCAGTTTTGCCCCTTTTACCCAGCATTTATGAGTTCATTTCATTGCTTTTAAAAGGGGTAAAAAAGAACTGCAGTCAGATTTTTTTTTAACGTTGAAGGATGAGAAAGTGACATTGCGAGTGGCAGCCAATAAGTGCTACGCACAGCTGCTTCTGCTGTACACTGGCAGAACTAGTTTTCCCTGCAACTGATTATGTCAAGAAAATTGCACACAGAACCAAAATGCTGTGAGATCGACAGTAGTCTCGCCCCTAATTTTAAGTACATCTGTACACACCAAAGAGCACGTTCCCAAGCACTTGATCCATGTGTGAAAAAATTCATTGTTTTTGAGGTTTGAAATGAGCAAAACCTTCACTCTGAGTTTTAAAAGTTTTTTTCCCTCTCTGGGCAGAGAACAGGCAGGAAGGGAGGAAGACAATTCTATTGCTTTCTAGACGTACCACAGTCCACCTTCATCCAAATGCTGATAGATCTAGCTGGAGAGATAATGGGTGGGTCAAGCTCTCCCCCTTCTGCAAGCAGGGAACATATATTTGGAAGGCCTTTAGACTAGAAAGGCTCCAGGAAGGGAGGAAGACAATTCTATTGCTTTCCAGACGTACCGCAGTCCACCTTCATCCAAATGCTGATACCGCAGTCCACCTTCATTCAAATGCTGATAGATCTAGCTGGAGAGATAATGGGTGGGTCAAGCTCTCCCCCTTCTGCAAGCAGGGAACATAGATTTGGAAGGCCTTTAGACTAGAAAGGCTCCAGGAATAATCTTCAGGAAAGAAATTTCTGGAGACTTCTGGAAAAGCCTCTCTGACCTGACCTGACCTGATCAGTGGGTGGGGGAAACAGAGATGATAAAAAATTCCCTGCAGCAAGGAGGAGGCCTCTTTATTTGTGTGTTGAATCTATGACAACAGTGGAGAGAACTCTCCACTGATGAGGCAGCCATTGACCATGTGCTGGCCTAAAGAACTAGAGGAAGTTTCAAGGTAACGGAAACTCTGTAGACATCTATAACTCCCTAAACTAAACGGCCTGTCCCATATTTTACCATCTGGTAGGACATGTATAGAGAGAGGGACAGAGGATTTGCGTTTTACCCATTTCTTTTGAATCCCTTGCTCGGTCTGGTGCTGTGCTAAAAGTATGATTGTAAACATTTTCTATTTAATAAATATTTTATAACTTTGGACGCTGGTAGTGGTTCTCTGTACCACATAGACCTCCACCGTCTTGGACACACTATTTTAAAAGGAGCACCAGGAGGAAGGAAGGTAGTTGGCAAATGGCTATTCCTCCAGGGGAGCACAAGGCAGTAAACGGTCACCATGGTGATCAAGCGCTAGGCAGCAGGGGATGCAGAAACAAGGCCTCAAAATGTGGAAGGGAAGCTGGGAGCCCTGACCCTCCCAGCGAGAATTCTTACACAGGTCAGGTGGTGCTGGCGAGTTACCAGAGAGAGAGCAAAGCTGGGTGGAATAGGGCCTGCAAGCCAGAGCAGGCCCGTTCCGCCACATATGTACTAATTGCCTCTTCAAAAAGTCTATTTTAGGTGCACACATACAATGTTTAATGTATGAATGAGTCAAACAAATATTTGAAAAACATTATATACAGGTACACTTGACAAAGAAGACCTAGGATTATTAGGAAAGGGATTGAGAATAAAACGGCTGATGTAATGTCTATGGTGCGGACTCATTTGGAATACTGTGTAGAGTTCTGATCACTGTATCTCAAAAACGATAACATCATGAAAATTACAGCATGAACCTAACATGCCAGTTTAGTTAAAAGATAATCAAATGTCAGTATTCTGAAACCCTTCGCTGGGAATATTCAGAAGCCATCTGGCAAAACAACTGAATCAGAGCTTTAGGAAGAATATCTAAGAGGGTCAATACCAATGAACCAATCTCAAAGGCTTTAAAGAGAG